AGTCCAGCCTATGACCCAACACCACCTTATCAACTGAACTGAGTGCCACATCGAGTCTTTCTTCAAGCACCTCCAGGGACAGTGACTCCACCATCTCCCTGTGCATCCCATTCCAGAACCTGACTCTTTTCTTTTCGTATCATCCCTTCAGGTCAGTTTATACATATTGATAATGAGCCTTCTCTTCTCCAGACTTAATAGCCCCAGCTCTCTCAGTCTCTATGTGAAGGATGATCCAGACCCATCATCTTTGTGTCCCTTTGTCGATCTCTTTCCAGTATGAGTTTTTTTCTGGGTTAGGAAGCCCAGAACTGGACACAGTAATCCAGGAATGGCTCTAACTGTGTGGACTGGAGGATCCTCTCTCGTGACCTGGGGGTAATATTTAGCCTAATGCAGTCCAGGATTGTTGGCCTCATGTTCAGCTTCTTGTCCACTGGGATACACTGCCACCTTTTAGGCGTGGCAGTTCAGCCGGTTTTCAATCTGCCTCACTTTGGTGGACACTTAGGCAGCTTTCACATTAGGATTTTAGAGAAGTGTCAAAAGCCAGCAGTAACTAAAATACCCATGAGTTACCTATACTTTTTCCAGCACACATCCAAAACATAGCCCCCTACTGTGAAGAACTTCACTCTGTCCCAGGAAAAACCAATACAATTATCTACCTTCCCAGCTGCTGAGTTGAGACTGCTTAGCTTGTACCTCCTTGTGGTTTCTTGTCATTTCTTGAAGACAGGGATGACATTTCCTACCGGCAGTTCTCAGACACTTCTCCAGGTCATTGTGATCAGCCCACAGGTTTTGAGCAGAGCCTCACAATTATATCTGCCAGCTCCCTCAGCAGTTGTGGGTTCATCCTGTCAGGCATCACAGACTTAATTATATTCAGCTTGCTTAAATATTTCCCAACATGATCCTTTTTCCCTAAGCCGTCCGTTTTTCCAGACCCTTGCAATGTGTGGGTCAGTTTCCTACCTATAGAAAGAAGGAAAACTCTCCTAGTGTAGTTTCTTCATACATATCTATATGTATCATAAAATGTACAGCAGTAAAGAACTACATAAATACTGATTTTTAACTACATGTGCTATGTAAAATTGTGTTGAGTTTTATAACTGGCTTCAGTATCAGTAGTCATTGGTGATATCTGGCAACCCTTTCCAAATTAATATTTTGTCCTTTATGGACAATGGTAGAATTTAATTTGATCTGAAGGCTGGTGCTTTTCAGATAAGAGACATGAAAATATCCTAATGAAGCTCAGAATTCCTTTCATGCTTGTTTAATTGAAATGTTCTCTTGTCAGCTTCCCTGGCATTGTTCTCCTGTTCACTCCTTCTTCCTTGCTTCCTCTTGCTATCCTGTCCCACCATTTAGATTATGTGGGGAAGTAGGAAAGTATTCAGGACATAAGTTGCCCTGGCACATATGTAGCTTCATCCCAAAGTAGCTATCTGTGTAATTTTTTAAAAACCTCAAGGAAGCCAGAGACGGCTTCCTGAGCCAAGCATAGGTGCTATTTACCATACCATACCATACAGTTTTGGTAGCAAAATGCGCATTCATACTAATAACATTTTAGCTTTAGCACTTCTTTTGTTTAATGTCCTCTTCAGTGAAGGGTTCTGTAGGCACATCCTGTAGGTAAAAAAAAAAAAAGAGCAGATATAAACTGTAACTGTTCTTCACAAAATATTAGTGTCTTAAATATGACAGGGTAGGGATCCTTGTTATACAATGCAAATACTCGGAGAGTGGTGTGGGAACTGTAATTATCTTTCAGTTTAGGGTATGTGCAGGCTCTTCCATATTATTTCCTTTGCATAGTTGTTCACATTTAATCAGTCATAATATTCCCAGCAGGCTGCTCTGTTCACACTCACTCAACTCTGGCTCAAATAATTTCTAGCACAGCAGGAAATGTCCTCACCACCACAATGTTAGGCAGTTGCTTGTGAAAGTTTGTTTGCTACCTCACTTCATTATAAACCTAAAAATATTCCACTGTTATACTCCAGGTACAAATGATATTTACTTGTATGAAATAAATCACAGTGTCTCCTGGCTTCCTGTGGTGAGCTTAAGGTTGTGCCTAATGTGGGGTTTTGTTTATCTTGGGATATCTGAAATTGTTCTTTCCTCCCTATATTTTTCCATATCTTTAGGTTCTTAGCTGTATCTTTCATTAGGATGTTGATGATAGGACCAAAGTGAAAATACTTGCTCTGCTAGAGACCTAGAGATGCATGTGTGTCTTAGTTCTGTAGAGCTCACATTCTTACTTCAGAAGTAATACAACAGAACAGAAACAGTGAAATATAGAACAGAAATAGTGAAATATTAAATCTCTATTTTATACCCAGTAGCACACTCTAGTGTGTATATTAATTAGCCATTGTGGACTGATTCTTACCATGTTTACCTCGATTTCTCATTGATTTAGTTCTCTTGCATTCAGTATTACTATTTTTAGTCTGTACTTGGGTGAATTGAAGGAAATATTTATATCTTCAAATAAAAACTTACCAGTTTCTTAACAGAATCATTATGATGCTAAATGTTATTTGTGATTTTTTTAAATTATGCTCTTAAAGAACAGCTGATTTTATTGAGACAAAAATCGCAGTGCAAAGAGGTTCACTATGAAGAGTTTTAATGATGTAACTGTGTAAAGCAAAGCTGCGTAAGATGGATTTGAACTACTTCAGTTACCTGCAGGGAACTATAGTTTCTTGAATTAATATATTTCTGAATTAGTACAGAAGTGAAGAGAGAAAGGAGTGCATAACTTTCTGAGATACTGGCTCAGACTGGCAGCTGCCTTTGAAGGTAGCACAGCCTTAGAGAAGACAGGCAGTCAGCAGCAACTCAGATAACTGTCTTGAACATTTCCTACAGGAATAGAAGACTCTTTACAGATGTTACAGGAGTGCCTTGGTGTTGACGCTTCAACTTGTGGTAGTTGTTCACATTTATGACACGACCTTGAACAAGTCACTGGTTCTGAAAAACTTGGGGAATTTATTATAAGAGGACAAATGGGTTTTTTTTTTCTCTGTGTTTTGCTTTGTGTGGTAAAGCAAGCGAGAGGAACTGTGCTTTCTAACAGAATGGGATGTCTTACTTCCTCAGTCAAAACAATTGGGGTTTTTTAAGCCATATAATATCAGTTTGAATGATTTGTGTTGTCAGTGATACACGATTGCATCACAGTGGGATTAAAATGTTGTACCCACGTGTTGTGTGTTGTTGTTTGATGTGGTATTTAATGTACACAGCAAAATATTTCCATTTTCTATTCTTCTTCTACTTAGCAGTTGTTCTTGCTGGGCTTCAATAAAGCCCACAGTTTTATTAAAGAAAATCGGGATGTCTCATTATATTTGGGGCAGAGGTAAGTGGATTGTGTAGCTGTTGCTTCCTAGTTTTTACTAAGGTGACTCTTTCAGGAGAAAGGAAGTGAGTGACAGAGTAGAAATCTCAAATACAGTTACAGACTGGTTAATTAATTTTTAATGGTCTTACATGCTTTGTTAGACACTAGATTTTGCTTATTCCAAACACACAGGTCTAAGGAAGCATAGAATTGTATTAATTAATTTCAACTTTATTACAACACAAAACCCAAAAAATTATATAGTGTAAGTTGTGTATGGTTTTGTCCTATGATCACTGCAAAGGAACATTTGTTATTAATGTGTTTCTGCTTTCTGCACCAAAATCCAATAATTTAAATCCAAGATGATTTAAAGCCACTACGTACTGCCACACAGGCTGATACAAGAACAGACCCTGAAGCAAAGAACAAGGAGGGAGGGAATATTTTTCATCTTCTTACTAATTGGTGATTGGAAAAATTGGTGCTGCTCATTGATAAGTGGGAAATGCTGGTTAGAATCCAATGAGGTGTTCACGTTGCAGACTTAGTAAACTATTAGGTAAAGGAAAAAATGCTAGAATGTTTCTCTCCAGGTTCCTTTTACATAACTGTGCAGAAAATAAAAAGTAAACAATGCAGATTTGTTTGAAAAATCTACTTAAGATTTATTTTACAATAAGACTTTCCTGGGAATCATAAGAATAAAATAAAAAGATAAAAGAGGAGCCATGTAATGAGTAGGAGACAGGTGTGCATTTCTGAGGAAACTCAATCTGATTCTACTTCATCTCAACATTTTTATTGGTAGAGGCAGTAAATAACATTTACTAAGCAGGTGATTTGCCATCTGCAGGTATTTTTTTTTCTAAAAAATATATTAGAGAACCATTTAGAATTGTTAGCGTTCAGGAACACACATAATCATGGGATGATTATATGAAGGTGCTTTATTGAAGAGCTCTGGGTGTCAGGGGTACACAGACCCAAATCTGACCCAATTTGGTTTGGAGTTGAACATGTTTTATCCTCTATCATTATACAACTTACATATTAATTATTAAACGTACATTGTTCTATTGTAAGCATTGTTTTTACCCAAGCATGGATTTCTCGTGATCCCCCCTAGCCCCCTAACATTGTTCCTCATGTTCTTTAAACAATAATTATATCTAATCACATCTAACAATTGTATCATTTATCATATACTGACTACACAGGTGCAGTTTGACCTGATCGTTAGCAAGCACAAGGCCTAACATTTCTCAGGGCCTACTTTTTCCAGGGCTTTCCAAACCTAACTTTCTTTCTAAGTCTCCGAATTTTCTAAGATTTTAGAACCTTTTACTATCAGAATCATCTCAAGTCTGTAAATTAAAATTGAGAAATAAAAATAAGTTTAATAATGGGACCTACTTGAATTTAGCATTTATATTTATATATATACACATATATATTCATATACATTATGTAATATCTAAAGAATCAAGCTGTGTGCATTTCTTCATGAAAGATGCAAGACTGAGGAAATTAATTGCCATTTATTTCTTTATTCTCCTAATAAAAATTGTTATGTCAGGTGCCTATATTGTTATATAATGTTTTCTGTATTTTTGTACAGGAAAAGCATAAGCAGGAATTAGAAGACATGAGAAAAGCTGGACATGAAGCCCTAACTATTATTGTTGAAGAATTCAAGGTGAATAAGTAACCAAGCTAACACAATTTCCAAATGGTTTTTGGAAAACTTCAGATAAAGTTGGTTAGCTATTTTCAGTAAGGAAACTTAAAACCAGAACAAACCCAAAATTCTCAGTCAGTTCTGGTAAACTTTGGGTTGTATTGTTTATCACAAATCCACATGTTGGACCTCTTCAGTCTCCAGAGCTGCACTTGCAGGAAAGCAGCATCACAGAGCAGTTCAGCAGGTTTTTATCTACACAGCACTAAGGGAGGAAGGTATGGATGAAATAATGCTGAGTCTTCCTTCATGCTGTTTTAGTTCCTGTCAGCTTATAAGATGAAAGAACTGGATGTTACCATGGAGCATAAATGTGTGTGTAAATTTGTTCTTCTGTTGAGTAAGAAACGCACAAAGGACAAAAACTTTCAACAAGTTAGGAAGAGAAGGTAAATCTAAGAATTCTAATTAAAATGGATCTGTCCAGAGAAAAGCTGGTAATGGGAAATGGACAAATTAAGGGGGAAACTTAAGACCTGGTGGCAACTCTGAGCTGAGAACACAAAGGGAGAATTTCAGATTTTAACTGTTCAGTAGCAGTAATTTGTACCCAAAGAATCATCTGGCATGGAGGGCAGGAAGATTTAGTGGTAGGTTTGGCAGTGCTGCATTAGGGATTGGACTCAATGATTTTAGAGATAATTTCTATTAATATTAATAGAATTAGTATTAATTTAGTATTAGTATAGTCATAGTCATATATTATAGTATTAGTATAATCATTAGTATTAATGATTTTATGATAAGAAGAAAGCCTTTTAATAGTTTTGCTAATAACTTTTAGTAGTGTTCTAGCTAATATTGAAATTGGCTCTCTGGAGAAATATCTCTGTCTCCATCAATGACTTAGACTAATTTCATTCTGAACCTATCCAGAAAAAAGTTTCAAAAGTTTCCATTCATGAGAAAACAAACATGTCCACTGGTGATGTCCCACTTCTCCATGCCTCCCTCATTTCACTTCAGTGGGAGAATTATTGTGCTTCTCTTCCCTTACTTCTTTGAGGATCGCTTTGTCTTAGAAGTTGTCAAAAGGGAATTTTACTTGGAGTGTGCATCTTTGGATGTGCCACTGAACATCTTCAGTAGCAGAATTATTAATTTCTGTTTTGTTCTAGATACATGTCAAATATCTGGCTGTTCCTGTGTGAACTTAAATTTTGAAAAAGCATGCGAGCTTTTGATAATTGCTGCATTTATGTTTCCTTCTTTTAAGAAATCCAGCAATTTTATAGTATTGAATGAAAGTTTTGAATGTTTCTGAGATGTAATTTTTCACCATTTTAATTTATTTGTATTAACTAAATGAGAGCTCTGCATGGGTTATATTGGCCCTTTAAAGGAATAATTTCTTCCTGTGTAGTTGGGTAAAGGGGTACATTTATGTGCTATAATAATTTTTGAAAGCTTTCTTACCAGTCAGTCAGCAGCAGCTGGGTAGATCTGATATGCCTTCTGGAAAATTAGATTTATGTTTATCAGTTTCAGTGATTCGGCACAAAAGATTAGGGAGTTAATTGAACCCTGTGTTTCTAAACAATGTTTATATTTAGTGTATTATTTCTCATAGAATATTTATATTCTAGTTACATAAATTCACTCTTTAATACCAGGGAACCATGAAATGAATGTACCTCATACAAGACTTCCTGTTGCCTTGCATGGTTAGTTGACCACTCTGATGAGAAATAATATCAGATAAGTCAAGTTCTGAGTAAATTACTGCAACCAGCCCTGTCTGCAAACATGAGGTGACTTACTCATCAGGGTAGCAACTAAAATCAGAAAGGATTGCTAGATTAAAATACACTCAAGCATTTTTTGGTTGGTTGTTTAATACCTTTCTTGTAACCCTTTGCTGTGAACTTTAATTAGAAAAGTAACACTGAATCATCAGGGAATTAAGTGGAGGCAAAAACTATTCTGTAGTTTTTGTTTGAGAAAATTATCTCATGGATTCTTTTACAATGTTGATTCACTGTTAATATTTCAATATGTTACAGGGCTATGTTGTTTTATTTTTCATGAGTCAAATGTGGTTTTGTAATTATAAAAGTAGTATCTTACATTTTGGGGGTTTTCAACTGCTAAGATCCCTAGGAATTTATTCTATATGTCAGATGTGGTGGGAATTAGTTAGATAACCAAATAAAGGTTCCTACATGTAGCATTTGTTTAGGAATGTAAAGTAAATCTGATTAGTCCTTTTAGTGAAAGACAAAATCATGAGATTCATTAACTATTTTCATTTACTCACAATAAACCAGACTTAATTTTGTGCTAAAATAAGTCTTCAGGATTTAGAGTGTGTTACTCTAATATATATCATTTATATGCAGAAGTAATTTCCATTTTCACTAGGTTTTTTTGTAAGTACTATCTAATTAATCCTCAAATTACCTTGAGTGCAGAAATTCACCTAAACAAATCTATGAATTATTTAAAAGGCATGGGGAGGAAAATCTTGTTTGTGGTTACAACAGGCTTATTTTGCATTCCTGGGGGTTTAATAAAGTAACTGATGCAGGTTATTCCAATCAGGGGATTGCTCAGGCCCTAATTAGGTTGTGTTGCAATCAGGAGTGTGGGAATTCTGACTAATCCTCTCAGAAACCAATGAATTATAATTTTGTGGTGGCACTTCAAGCAGAGCTGTAGCACAACTTACAACGTCCAACATTAGTTGTTTAAGGATAGCTTGTAAAAATTTGAGCAGTTCATCCTTAGCCCCAGGAAATAATCCCCAGAATGCCTCAAACCCAAATCCTGTAACTTAGGTATTGAAACCTTGAGTGGAACAACAGTGGAAGAAAGTTTACTGATTTGTCTTTTCTGTATTTCTGGCATAGACAAGTGTTATTGTTAGTGGATTTTGAACGTGCCTTCTTTTTGCTTTACAAAGGAAAAGAGAGTTGCTATTTTGTGGCTTCTGAGTACACGGCTGCCAAGTTGGTAACCAGAAAATCACAGTTTTCTTCCATTCAGAGCTAATTCCACTCCTTGAAAATGTACTGCAGCAGACCCCAGTTGTTATTATCTTCCTATACTTCCAAATGGCTTACACTAACTTCTAGTCCCTTTCCTGTATTTTGTGGACTTACTTGTTGTAAAAGGGACAGTATTTCTTCATATAGATCTTTCACTAGTGTAGTATCTCTGAGCAGAACAGGTACTCAAGTTTGAGGACAAACCCCCTCAATTCCTACTTCTGATTGGTCCTTCTTAATATGGCAGCAGTGCTTAAAATGCAGCTTACACAAGAAGTCAAATACTGAACAACCTATTTTTAAGGCCCTGGATATACCAAAGCCCTTAAAATTAAATTCAGTTATCTTTGGAATATTCACTTGTCGAATGTGTTGGGAAATCCATTAATAGAGAGCATTTGATGCTTTGTAGCACGAACCCTCAAAAGCCCTGGCCATTGTTAAGCATCTCATATTCTAATCTTCCTTACAACAAATAAACCATCCACAACACAGTCCACAAAACCACAGGAAAGCAAATTAAAAATTAACTCAGTGCTCTATGTAGGTCAAGTTTCCCCTTCTCATGTTTATCTAATTTTATTTAATTTCTCTCTTTCATGTCATTGCTGTTTTAAACTTTTATCCCTGGTAATTAATCACAGTAAGAAAAGTAAATGTAGATCTTGGAAGTTATGCTTGTTGGATCACATCACATCTTAAGATATTTACCACAAGCAACATAAGAATTTCTCCTCTGCTTGTTTAGTCAAACTTTTGTTCTGAAATTGTCACAGTTCTGTAAATAGATGAGTTAATAGTTTTAATCTGTTCTATTTCTCATAATATAAAATGTGCTCTAATGTAAGCTTTAAAGAATATGAGGTTACAGGCAGGTGTATTTATTTGACGGGTTTTATTTCCGTAGATTATTTTATGCAATTAATAGTGTTCTAAAAGACAGCCTGCATGAATCAGATGTGTGTTTCCCTTATAGAAATGAACTTCAAGGTGCAGAGTTCTTTCCAGCCCTTGGTGCAGGAAGAGTTTTGTTCATCAGTTTTCAGTATAAGGTGGTGGGGTTTCTTCAGATTTTCAGAATGTAAGAACAGGTAGATTTTCAAAGCATGGAATATGTGGGGGCCATCAGATTTTCTTTCAAAAATATTTGTGTCAATAATACACCTCTGAACTGAAAAGTTACCCTCTAATAAATAAAGGAAATTTTAAAGGATTTTATTCCAAAGGAAGTTAATCTAAAATCAGGGTATCTTTTTTTAGACATAGTTTCTCCCTAGTGAGAGAAAGCTCTGAAATGTGGCCAGTTCTCAGCTCTTTAAAACATCAGCTTAGCTTATTAAGTTTCCCAGTTGACATCCTGGCTCAGAAAGGCCTGACACATGAATAAAAGGACAAATCCAAAACTCTAGCAAGAGTTTGTATTTCACTTCCAACTTCTGTGCTTGTTCCTGTGCAGGTCACACTAGAATTCAAGTGAGCCTCAAATATAAAACAACCTTGTTTTTTCTCATGGAGAGCTGATGGCTGGAAAATGAGAGATTCTAGTTCTGTACAACAGTGATGCTACAATGGAAGTCTCTCTACAGAATTCAGATAAAAACAAGGTGCAGTCAAATCTCATACTCTGAGAGATCTGGCTATTAAAAGTATTTTATCATTGATTTAATGGCCTTTACATTTTGAAAGCAATTACAAAAATTGCAAGGAAACTCTCCCTCCCCTTCTAGTAAGGATGAATTGTGTATGTGTTTCTGACTATAGAATAATAAATACAGTGTTAAATATTATAAAATTATGAAGGTTAATCGAAGATTAAGAGTAAGTTTGCAGTTTGCTTCTGTCAGGAGTCTGTGAGAACAGTGTCTTATGGAAAATAAATCCTTTACACTCACATACCAGTAAAACTGAGCTATATAGATAAACCCATGTAGTATTCAAACTGTAAGTTGTTGATTCTTACCAGTATGCATCAACACAGTTTCAACCACAAGCAGTTAAATATGAAACAGAATTTTTTATATCACTGCAAAAAATATGTTACCCCTTTGTTGTTGTATTTAACTGCCCTTATTCCATAGCCCCTAAATGGATATGTTTCATTTTCACTAAAAAGGCAGGCTCACCTGGAAATAACCCAATCATGAAAATGTGCAGTATTTTGGGCTGAAGTGGATAAGTTGAATTATTTTGAAAAAAACTTTTTCAGAAATCTTTTAAATAGTTTTACTTGTATCATGTCCATCTTAGCTAATAGCTGAATTAAAACACAACTAGTCAAATACTGCATTTTATTGAGCTAGTGTATCTTTTCCACTGGTCAGGAAAGAATTTGCATTGTGTTTTCTTCTCTATTTTGTCGTTCAGCAATTGTTTACTTGCGTTTCACCCTTAAATTAAGTAGTAGAAAGTAATTAAATGGTGGAGACAGGATGCTGAATTAGATGAATCATTGTCTAATGCTATAAAGCATAAAAATTTGGAAGTACTATTGCCATATTTAATAGAGTTCATATGTTTGAAGCAATGCGGTAACTTCTCATTAGTAACTTTTATTTTTAAAGATTATTTGTTTTCATCATTCAGACTCAGCAGTTTTGAAGCAGAGGTTTGATATACTGGCTTCCATTTAGCTACTTGATGATTGAACAGAATATTCTTTTGGATTGACTAAGGCTCTTGATGCAGTGCTTTGAAGAAACATTCTAAAACATAACCCAGCAAATTGTACACCATGGTTTGTATTTTATACTGATGTTTCATATGAGTAGCTTTAACATTTTCAAACAACACTGTGTATCTGGGAAGCCTGTGTTTTGCATGGATCAGAATTGCTTTTAACTTTTTTTTTTAGAAGAGGTAGGAGAGGATAGTGACCTCAGCTTTGTTTTTCCTGTTGCCTTTATTATGACTAGCTTTTTCCTATAATAAAAAAAGGGAGTTGAAAGAAAGGGGTTTGGTGATTTGTTACTCTTAGGGAATTCTGGAAGAATTGGGGGTAACAGTCTATATTTTGGCTATTTAATTCAAGAGGGTTTCTCATAAATTCTAGCTTCTGGCCTTACAATAAATTCTGTCTGGGCAAGTAGCTGTGGTTTCTATTGCCCATAGAATGAATGCATTATGTACTAGGGCTGTGCAAGTAGGTTTGTATTAAAAATGCTGGGGCATCTCTGTTATGCTTTTGGCAAAACCGTAGTTAAGGCACTTTTGCCTTTTTGAGTATGAGGAGAAATATTACAGATAATCTGGTACTCAGTACATAACACACTTTAGAAATACAGGATGAAGTGTTGTGATCATTTGTGGTTTTAAGCTTTTCTTCTCATATTGGGCACAGTGAAGCTTTTCAGTCCCTGGTCTGTATACAGGAATGCCATTCTCCATGATTCCCACCACACAGGTAGTATGCTGTCATTTCCAGGACTAAATACTCTGACCAGTGCTAAAACGTGTAATTAGGTGTGTATTCCTTTAAGAACCCCCCATGGTGATCATGGCTCTTATTATGATATTTTGATTTACTTTCAGCTCAAGGTTGTCTAAAATTATTCCAATGTATAAAACTTAAAGCTAAGGTTAGTTCTTTATCTGAGCTCAAACAGGGGTTCAGACTAATTTATTTAGTATATCTGGATCAATTTTAAAATGTTTTCTACAGTCATTTAGATGTATGAAGATTTCTTAAATGGTTTGAGGAAATAACATTTTTTCTGTAATTTTTTTAATGTACCATATATCAAACTAAAATGAAGACTCTATAGAGAACTTAAGGGGTTTTAGTCTCTTTATTCTGTTGGAAGCCACCACAACATTTTGGTTATTGAAGAAAAAGTAGGATGAGTTCTCTGACAGTTTTTTTGGGTTAGCAGAGAGATCAGAAAGAGGGAAAGAAGCCTCTGGGTGGAATTCTGGGCCACCTGGTCTAGTAGAAGGTGTCCCTGCCTATAGGAGGGAGTTGGAACTACATGAACTTTAAGGTCCCTTCCAACACTTAAAATCCTCTGATGCTGTGATTGTATGATGACCCTTCCCAACTAGTGTCAAGGAAGTTCATTGCACAATATATAGAAGGAAAAATTAATTAACAAGAAAGGTCATATTGAAATCCTACCCTTGACTTCATGCAACAGCTTCCATAGGCTACATTCTGATGTAACCTTACTTGAACTGATTCAATTAAAAGGAGACTGTTTCAAGAATGCCAGCTTGGTATTAGATCACTGGCCATAGATTTATGGAATGTCATCCCAGCAACATAATTAACAACTCCTCCTTAACTAATTAAGGAAGAAGATGCTGTTTCAGCAGTGATAAGAGTATTTGCCCAAAACAGCAATTAATCAAAAGATTTTTAGTGTTATTGTAACTATAAGATTAGAGATACCGATCATCAAGTAGCCAAATGTATGTTTCACAGTTTAGCAAATGAGCTAATTGGTAAATGAAATTTTTAAAAATTATTACATTTGAGTAGTTGATTATCTTGAAAATTGCCAGAGCTTTGGATGACTATCACACATCTCATTTCCCATTGAGAAACCTGTAGTACTGTGCTACATAGGGAGATTTTTCTCTCTTTCTCCTTGGCCAACTAGTGGAACAGTAAAATATACCACATCAGCCCTGTGGTACTATTTAAACTGTGTTAATAGTGTGTATAACAGAAATGGAAGACTTTTGTTTCTGAATGTGGAATTTTATGTATTTTCTAAAGAAAAATAGTAATAATAAATTAATTTTAAAAATTTAACAGCCTCTACATGCCATGAAGTGAATAATAATTATTTCCTTGAAAACTGAAAACTGAAAGTTCTTTATACCATTTAATAGGATTTTAACAGTTGCCAGTGAAGTTTGCAGAGCAAAAGGTGACTCAACCCTTGGCATGAGCAAGGAACTGTCTGAGAAATGCTGTGGCAGCCTAATGGCCATTCTGTTACTGCGTTCCCTAAGAACAGAATTATTTTATTTTCCTCTGTACCAGTTACATGAAACATTTTTTTGCTACAATAGTTTAGGCAAAAAAAACCCAACCAAACAAAAAAAAATTAACCCAAACCCCAAGGTCCTGGCTTAATATTTGTGATATGTGACTGTTCTAATTTATGCAGACTATAAAGATTCATGTACAGAGCTTACACTTCCTTGAGAGTTCAGTTTTTCCGAGTGCTCAAATTTCTATAAATGAAAGAATTTAATTTAGTTAGAAATAAACTGGCTTTTTTGAAAGTAAACTTACTTACTTACTTACTTTGCTAAATCCCCTATAAACACCAGTAAATGTATTCTCACACTTTGATTAAGCCCAAGTTTTAACCTTTTTAATTGCTGAATTCGTACTGAGAGCAACTACCATGCTACAGCATTACTGAAGAACAGTGATTTTGGCATAAGAGGACAGTGGAAAATTTGGAAAGGTAATTCAAAAATTGTCAGAAGATTTTATCTCTTTTTACATTCTTGGGTTTTTTTAAAAGTATTCAAAATTTTATTTGATGTGTGTGTTATGTTCCATGAAGTAAATATATCTCTAAAATATTGTTTGAAAGATGAAGATTTTTTTTTGTCTGCATTTGGGCCAAAGGTCTGTTTTCTGTAAAAGTCATGTCTGTTTTAACTTACCCAGTCATTTTGACTACTTCAGTATATTGATTACTAGTTTGGTACATTCTGTATAAAGAACCCGGTGAATATTTGGAAAGAGGTAGAAAGACTTTATACTATCAGGAAAAAAGGCTTAAATCACATGAGCCAAGTAAATGTTTATCTACCATCGTTAAAAGAAACCTGAGCGTAATTCTCCAAATGATAATTTGGTTTTTTCATGTATCTTCAAGTATTTTATTTCTCTTTCTGCATTCAGATGCTGGAGGTTGTGCAGGGCTTAGCCAAGCATGTGTGATTTCAGGCATATGCACAAACACGTGCTCACACACTCAAAACTCCTACTCCCATCATCTGTTTGTTACTGCCTTGGTACTTAGTCTTTCCACACTTTGACTTACACTGCTTCACATTCAAGTGTGAACATCCTGGGGGGGCATTCTTTTATGTTTTATGTTACTCAGAATTTCCATCTGCTTTTACTTGACTTGTGGTTGTGAAGATCATGCTTGGCCCATGGGATCTTACACAGTGCCGAGAGGATGTGGAGTTTTGTCAGCTAGGGAAATATGTCTGGCTTTTTTTTTTTTTTCTCTCTCTTCAGCAGCTTTCATATTCACCTCTTCTTGTGTGGTCCCACTAAATTGAGCATATTTAACAGAAATACTCTCCCTCTCTATCTTCTGTATGCTGCTGTCTTTTAAACAGACTGTGTAAGAAATCTGAGATCCAAAAAATGTTAGTCCTGACTGAAAATAAGGTAGTGTTACATAGAAAGGTACTTTAATTGCTACACATTCTAAATTTATAACAGCATTCCACATTCTGGTTGTAGATGAGTCTTAGTGGATCTGCAGTTACCAATAAACTTCCCAGTTATATCTTTGTTGAGTATTTTGTGCCTTTTTTTTGCAGGCACTGCTAGAATCTACAGTTCAGCAGCAAGAAGCAGCTATTGAAAAGCAGTATATATTAACCATTGAAAAGCATTCTCGCAAATGTGAAGACCTCCTTGATGCTCAGGTATGGATGTGCACATGCAAGAATTTCCATGATTTTCTTTTAGTTTCAACTCTTCCTGTTTGAAAAAAATACTAACATATAAGATCCCCAAAGAAAATGATCCATCTCTCACCTTTTTTCCTCAGCATACCACTAGGCACAAGTATTTAAAAATGCTAAATAAATAAGGACTCTTCATCTGTTGGGATCAAAAATGTTCTGTAATACTGGAGCCTGCTTAGAACAGATTCAAGGAGAGTGTAGCACTGAGAAAAAGTCTCAGAGCAGCATAATACTTACTTCTTAACAGCTGCCTTTTACTGTGGTCTTGGAGAAGCCATTGAATTATTTTTAATTTTTGTAGTTAAATGCAGGACCTGATTGTATGGGATTTGGATGAATTTTTGGTCCAAATTTTGAGATGGTTTTCAGATAGTAGACAAAAATGTGCTGTCCACACCTACTTTTATTTCACAGAAATCTTACCTAAAAATAAAAAGCTATGAGGAGTTACATAATATCCAGAAATATATATATATATATATATATATATGTGTGTGTGTGTGTGTATATGTATATATATATACACATTAATGGCCTAAATTGGCTCATTTAGCATGACTTGAGTAAAAGCACACTGCACAGCAAGTATCTGAGATCAGAGCAATTAGTGTTGAGTATCTGACCAGTATCAACCTGGTTTGTTATCAATAAGATCTCAGTTTTACTGAAGTACAGCTCTTGAATCAAAATAATAATGACCATGAGCATGGAAATTTAAAAACCAAGAAGTTAATTTGTTAATAGCCCTCTGGAGTCATTTATATTGCAGATAAGTTACCTTTTAAGTACTGTTACCAACAGTCCTGCAAAAAATACAAAGGATAACTTTTTTTAATTTTCTTGTATTATCTTAGACCTAGATACATCAAATGTCCCCTTGAAGGACTCCACCATTTCTAGAAGTGTTTTATGATCATTTGATGTTCTGACCATATCAATTAACACCTAGTGCAAATGTGTGTTAAATATAGATGTGTGTAAACAGTGTGAAGGAAAGATGTCATAATGTGAAAAAATTGCATCATGAGTGAGGTTATTGCACAGAATTGCAGTTATTTAATACTTGCTATAAAGCTCTAAGAGCAAGTAAAAATTAATTTAAAAAAAATGTTTTCTGTTTTTGAAATTAGTGTATCATTTGCTAACTTGATATCACTTTCTGAATGAACCTCATGAAATACAGAAATGTCATAGGAAGATATTCTGAGATTGTTCTTACAGACTGAGCAATAACTTGCACCTGTGATCAGTCAGATTTCATCAAAACCCCAAAAATGGGCCAGAAGTGTGAAAGCATGTTGAAGAGGTTCAAATTTACCTGGGGAGAACCCAACAATGTAAAGAACTGTTCTTGGTCAGAGGAGAGTGGTTAGGACAAAACACAGTGCCCATCATGTCTGCATTTAACACCCCCTTTGGAGCCCAGAAAAAGTGTAAATTTTGTTCATTAACCTCCAAGTCATTTATCATTCAGTGCAATCGAGGTTTTCACTTCTAATTGTAATGTAAAACTGGGATTTTAAAACCTAATCAAGTAGACAAGTTTGGGAGCTTGTGGTTGAGCTATCAGGTTTAATTAAATATGATTGATACTGGCAGATTTTATTCACTCATGAAACTTCGTTGAAAGATCTGAGAAGTGGGTGGTATGGTTTTTATTTTTTTATAATCTATTCTTAAATATATGTTTTTGTGTTTATTTTCACCCTTCTTTTTCTTCAGATTGTTTTGTTATGTGCTAACAGTTGAGTTCGATGAAATTGCTGCTGATACTTATACATAGATTTCATTGCTGTTTTATGATATGGGATTTTACATGCATAGCCACCTTTACATAGAGATTTATGTGTTTGTATCACTGTAAAGATTTTTTTTTTTTTGGTGTAGCAGTAATCACACATTGCAAGTATACACTCAAGACAAAAATCACTTCTTTTTTTTTGTTCCCTTCTAATATTCTTGCCTTACAAGCAGTATTTTGCCGTCAAAGTTTTAAGCATGTTTAAAATTGTCAAACCACATAGTTTTTTGTGCTTGTTTGACATTCTTTTTAAATTTTTTGGTGTTTTATTTCCCTTTCCACACAATCAAGATTATCTCATGATAACTCCTTTCTCATGCTTTCTACTTACTCCTGTTTCCCCCCTAAATGTCCCTGCCCCTCCCTCACAAAAGTGTCTTTGAGATGGAGGAAAGGCTGTTTTTCTCTGTTTGTCTTTAACCTTTTCCTAGAGTTTATTGAAGTATCTGATTTTAAGGCTTAATTTTATCAGGTGGAGATGCAGGTTGAAATCCTTTCCAGAGAAGATCCTGCTATCCTGCTGCTCACGTTCAGTGTATAAGGCTTTGTTTTCCAGCATGGAGAAAGAAGTGAAAGACCTCATTGCATAGTCCTATTCCAGCTTCCAGCTGGAAAAATACCTGCAGTTGATATTTGATCATTATGTGTCAGCCTTGTCAGCAAACTGGCTCACTGTAGTCAGCATCCTAGATGATGGTCACTGGAATGATTTGTTCCCAGGTGACAGCCTCTAGGGCTGCTGGTTTTCTCCAAGGAAATACATTCCCACATCCAAAGTGGTGTGGGGAGCAGCAGAGGGGGGGGATTCTGCTCCTCTGCCCCTCTACTCAGGAGAGACTCCCTCCACATCACTGCCTCCAGCCCTGGGGTACAGCACAGGAAGGACAGGGAGCTGCTGGAGCCAGGCCAGAGCAGGGACACCAAGGAGATCAGAGGGATGGAACAGCTCTGCAGCAAGGAAAGGCTGAGGGAACAATTGGGATTGTTCAGCTTGAAGAAGAGAAAGCTTTGGGGTGACCTCGTGTCTTTCCAGCACCTGAAGGGAGCCCACAGAAAAAATGAAGAGACACTCTTGACAAGGGCCTGGAGTGACAGGACATGGCTCAAACTGACAGAAAAAGTAGGTTTAGTGTTGCACAGTTTAGTTTGGATATTGGGAAGAAATTCTTCCTTGTGAGGGTGGGGAGGCCCTGGCACAGGCTGCCCAGAGAAGCTGTGGCTGCCCCATCCCAGGAAGTGTCCAAAGCCAGGTTGGATGGGGCTCTGAGCAACCTGGAATAGTGGAAGGTGTCGCTGCCAATGGCAGGGGATTGGAACCAGATGACCTCCAAGTTCCCTTCCAACCCAGGCCATTCTGTGATTCCATGATGTCAACATTTTAAAAAGCAAACCAAGCATTCTTGTGGCACATTCAGGGGCATCAGTGTCATGGTATCCTCCATCAATCAACAGGACAAAGAGAATTCTTTCTCTGTGCCAGAAACCAGTCATGTCATCTACTGAATATTTAGAAAAGCTATTCCTGTCAGTTTTACTTTTCAAAAGGATTTGATGATATCAGAAAATGCCAATAGAAAACATAGTAGTTCTTTACAAGTTGGAAAATTACAAATTTAATCCTCACCTTTTTCTGAGAAACAAACCTTTGATGTTGCCTTCTGAAAACAAACGCCAACTGTGATCTTGTGGCTTTACTCATGTGCTATGTGAAAACACATTCTGAAATATATAATCAACAAACCTTTGAATGGTTTTTTTTTTTAATACTCAGAAATTTCTCATACTATTCAATCAAAGCAGATGGTGTTAAAAGTGTCTATAGTAAGCTACATTTTTTTATTCTTCTTAAAACTCAATGATCTATGTATTAAGGTAAAATAAAATGTTAAATACCTACAGCAGTTATTTTTCATAAAATCAATGTGTGTGAAACATGTCGCACATTTGTGGATACAGCAGCGTTTAGGACAACTAGAGTTACCCCCATGTCTTTAATGCTTTTTCCACTCTATCATGATGTTGGCTGTCATTTGTATGATAAACAGTAGTTCATAATCTGTTACGCAAAATCTTTTGTCTCTGAGACTCACTCAGGGAAGTACTGGTTTATCTTCAATAAGAAAAGAATTACTGAAAGGTCAGTCAGAATAAAAGTTCCATTGGCTGGAGCTCATCTTTTAAAATTTATTATGCTTATGACAAGCAGAAAACTGGTGTGACAGTAATCATGAACTGCTGGAATGATAGGTATTTTATCTTCTCTAGTATTTGGATGATTCTTTTTGATGTGTTTTGCATAACCTTTTGTGAAAAGTACCAGTATGTCGTCTGACTACTCCTAGAATATCAAATGTGGGAAGTACTTTTATTTTACAGCAATTGTTTGTATGCCAGGGGAAATGTTCACTTCAATTGGAAACTTAGCTTCACAGGAGATACAATTTCCTTTGATTTCAAATAATTGCTTTTATATCTACTGAAAATGTGCCTCATATTTCTCTAATAATGCTTATTTTATGAACTTTGATTATGTTTTTCTCCTCTTGTAAACAAAAGAGGCTCTGTGTTTTTCCCATCTGCTGGTAGTAATTGTGAAATATTTTAATGCCTGGTCTTGAAGGGGCCATATGCAAATAAGATTCTGAGAGGCTTGTGAATATTTGCATTTTTTGGAGACATTGGCCAAATTTTTGCAGAGAGAGTAGTAATCCTGAATTCAGACTTTCAGACTGAAAATACAAACACTGCCATGGGCATAACCTTTCTGGTTTAATAATTCCAGCTATGATAGGTTTGGAAATTATTTAGAGTACTTACCATGTCCCCTTCTTTGGACATGTCCTCTCAGTTCCCAGAAATCTTGTCGTTTACTTCTGAAGAAATATTTGTTTATTCATTTCCTTCAAAACCAAGTTCTTCAAATCAGCCCTTCCTGTTACATTTTCATGTAATTCACATCCACATAATTCATCTAGTTGTATCTTTTCAGGCCTGCTGCTCTTTTGCCAAGAGCGAAGTTACACTTTCTCAGAACTTAAAGGAGCAAAAAAATAAGGATTGATTGAAATCCTGTGGCAAATTTGAGAAACTTATTCCTGAATTCCTGATACTTTCCATGTATATAGAGAGAATAAAAATGAAAACAGCAAGAATCAGC